AGAGGGAGAGGATGCTCCGCGTCCGTCGGCAAGAAGTCGAGGCGGTGCGGAGGAGCGTGCTCGGCGACGAGGCGTACGAGGCGCGCAGGCGGACCATCGAGGACGAGAGGCTACTGGGCCTCTTGCCGGCGTCGGCGTCGGCGTCGGCGTCGGCCTCGGTGCAGTGATGGCGCCGGCGCCGGCGTGCGGGCCATCGTCGTCGCTGTGCAGGCTGTTTGCTCGGGCGGGCGGCGTCGTCGATGCCCGCGAGCGGAGGTCCAGGCTGGGTTTGTCGCCCCGTCAATCCTCAAGAGCGTTTGTGACGCAAACACGCACCCCGCAGCCCACGACGACGACGATCCGAGCACATCGATACCCATCCTCCGAGCCCTTCACCGCACCGCACCGCATCGTATCGCATCCCGTTGCATTAACAACAGCCCGACCGACCGACCGACTGACCGACCGACCGACACCCAACAGCGAAATCGAGTCTACATCCAATCGTCCCTCTTCGTAAATCTGTACCCCGTCACCGTCTCGAGGAGCGGCCGAACAAGGCTGTGGGGTACCATGTCGATGTACCAGAATCCAGCCTCGACGTACTCGTCCATGAGGAGCGCGCCCGTCGCCGCAAACCAGAGTAGGACCCAGGCGATGCCGCTCCACGCGTCGCTGCGCACCAGGCCGAGGGGCTTGAGCGCCAGCCGCTCCAGGGCGATGCCGAGTGGCTGCACCAGGAAAAAGGCGGCGCTGCCGAGCGGAAGACGGTGCAGCATGATGTAGTTGGGTAGGCTGTGCAGTAGCGCCGAAAGCGTAAAGGCTAGCAGGGACGTGAGGAGCGTCTCGCCGTGGCTTCTTTGTCGTGGTGCCCGTGCCCGTGGCCGTGTCTTGTCGTCATCGTCGTCGTCTTCTTTCGGAGCAGACGATGGTGCACGGCCATTGACGGTGCCGATTGCGGTTGCGCAAGGCGGGCCGACTACGACGAGGTCAACGAGGCCGCGGGGTAGACCGACAAAGGAATCGCGGAAAAGGCCGTGCCAGAAGCGGGCCCAGAAGCGTTCGAGGTCGCCGAGAAAGTGGGTCCAGTCTGCGCCTCGCCTTCCTCCCTTCTGCCCCGAATGAGGATGAGGGTGAGGATGAGGATGAGTATTAGGATGAGGATGAGGAGGATGAGGATAAAGGACGGAGAGGGGAGCGTGGCGCGGAGCACCAAAGAGGGGTCTCCAGTCTTGCGGGGTGCCGAGGCCGAGGGTGACGCAGACGAGGCTGAGGACGAGGTAGGACGTGGTTAGTGCGAATACGCCCTGGGCGCCCGCGAGGAAGGTATCGAGTACCAGGGCCGGCAGCGGCTGGCAGCGGATGCAGGACGTGTGGAGCGACGCGCGGGTCTGGGAGAGGGTGTTGAGCAGGTCGAGGATCAGACTGTCCCGCGTGGCAAGGGTGGCGTTGGTGGAATGGGGGAAGAGCCTCGTTCGTGTCAGCGAGGGAGCGAGAGGAGGGAGGGTGATGGAACGAAGAGGGATCGACAGTCGACGCTGCGGGGAGGCGGGGGGAGACTTACAGGTTGCGAGCGAGGCGGACGAGGTTGTAGCCTATCCACTTGGAACGTCCGCCTCGCACGACGGCATCTGGCCAAGTGGGCCAGGAGCGACGATGGGCGCAGCCCCACTTCCATCCGACGCCGCGCAGCGACATCCACCCGTCGGCCGCCCAGCGTATCCTCTCGAGTCCAAACCGTTTCGGTACCTCCTCTTGCCTCTCCCGCTCGTTGCCGGTGGTCGGGGTGGTGATGCGCTTCCAAGCCGGCATGCCCACGGAGCACGGACTGGCCCGCGGACCACCGAGGCGGGCGACGTGGCGGAGGATGCGGAAGACGGTGACGACGTTCTGGTTGGCCACGGCGAAGATGGCGATGTTGAGGAGCGCGCGCTTCTCTGGCCATCCTGGCTCGCCCCTCTGCCCATCGTACAGTCCAGGGGAGGTTGATGCTGAAGCGGAGGCGGCAGCGGCGGGGGAGAGGTGGTAGAGAATGACGAGTCCGAGGGCATGGAGGGCGAGGAGGATCGAGGTGTAGGTCCACCGTGTGGCCGTACTGCGCTCGACTGCGTCGTTGAGCGGAGGGAGGACGAGGTAGAGGATGAAGAGGATGTGCGGTAGTGCTAGTGTGGTTGCTGTCGTCGTCGTGGTCGACATCGTGGTCCTTGTCGCGGCCCGTATGGTGGCGTGGTGGTAGTGTCGGTGTCGGTGTCGGTGTTGGGGGTTAGAGGAAAGGGAGGAGAGAGAGGGGGGGTTGGAAGTGGGGCCTCTGACGTCGGAGGCTGGCTCCTCGACGGCACGGCCGCTTGTCCTGCGTGGCGCGACTGACCGACTGCCTGACGGACGGAGGGAAAGGCCGCTAGGGGTGATCCGATTTGAAACAAGCAGAGCCAGCAGGAGCGGCCCGGGCTAGCAGCACCTTTGCTGCTAGAGGTTTGGAGCGGAAGAGGTCCGATAGCAAAGAGAGAGAGGGAGAGGTAGGTGGGGGTGAAATAGAGCTCCCTGGAAATTCCAACGGTAGGCAGGCCCGCTGGGCTGGCTGGCTGGCTGGCTTCTTCCAAACTGACACGCGCCGCGCCGCCTGTCATGCCTGCCTGGCCATGCACGGCCCACGCGGGTACCGGTGCGGAGCTCGACTGGTAGCAGATCCGAATTGGTGCCTGCCTGCCTGCCTGCCTGCCTGCCTGTCTGCCTCGCTGGCCCTCGCCCTCGGCCTCGGCCCGCGGTCCCGATAACACTTCCGGTCCAGGCCGATGCTGCCAGTGGCCGCCACTACTCTGCTCCACTCCTTCGGCCCTCTTTCCTGTCTGCCGCACTGCCTGGCACCGCCTCGCACACACAGACCACGCCAGCAGGTGCCCGACGACGTCAGACCACCACGCATGGTCCCGTCGGTCCAAGGGCCTTGCACCATTACAGTCGCTTCCGTGACTGAGACGAGACGTGTCTCCCCGTTCACTCCCAATCCGAATCTTCGTCGCTCTCGCCGCCGCCGCCGCCGCTCTCCTTCTTGGCCGGTGTAGTCGCTGCTGGCGTCGCCGTCGCTGTCGCCGCCGCTGACGCCCCCTTGGCCTTTGAGGCATCCTTTGCCGGCGTTTCAGCAGCAGCAGCAGTAGTAGCAGCCGAAGCCGCTGACTCGCCCGCCGGCTTGGCCTCGTCGCCCGCCACCTGGTCCTCTTCGTCCCACACAAACCCGTCCTCGTCCTCGTCGCTCTCCCTGGCACCCTTTGCCCCCTGCGCCGCCGCCGGCTGCGGCTGCTGCTGCGGCGGCGGCGGCGGCGCGGCGTGACTCTCCTCGATCACCTCCTGTCGATGGCCCTCTGCGCCATCTTCCTCGGGCGGCACGATGCGCACCAGCTCCCCCGCCAGCTGGCGCATGTCTTTGCCGAGATCCTTTGCAAAGCTCTCGCTCGCCTCGAGGTAGCGCGACGCAATCTGCTGCGACTGCTTGAGGTCCAGGTGCGGCAGGTGCGACTGGATCGTGCGCGACAGGCTCGACAGCGTAGTCTGCGCGGTCGCCACGTCGTCTCCTCGCCCTCCTGCCGCCTCGCCTTGCTCTCGCTCCTGCTGCTGCGCGGTGGGCAGCGAAGCCAGGATGTTTTTCTGCAGCGCTGCCACGCGCGGGTCCGACGTGAGCTGCGTCGTGATGCGGCTGAAAAACGACGTCGCCGCCTCGAGCGGGTGGGCCAGGGCGGCGTCGTCGGTGGCCGTCGTGGTGGTGGTGGTGAACAAAGCTGCACCCGCATCCTGCGACTGGTCGTCGAGCTGCCTCTGCTTTCCCTTTGCATCGGGCGACGAGGTCGACGTTGGCGTCGCTAGGTCGGCGGAGGGGGCGGCTGCTGCTGCTGCTGCTGCTGCGAGGTCGATGTCCGAGGTGGGGGGCTGAGATGCGGCGAGGGCATCGTTTCTCGCCTTTGCCTGCGCGTCGCTGAGCTGCGCCTCGAGGCGAGAGTACTCGGACTTTGCCATGTTGAGCAGCCCGCCCTGGGAGTCGACGTGCTGCTTTGCCTGCGAGGGGGGAGGGGGGCCCAGAGGCGGGGGCAAGATCAGGGCCGTGTCAGAGAGAGGCCTGTGTGTGACGAGGAACGAGTGATATCTCTGCGGCCCACCTTTTGTGTCACGCCGGACCACCACGAGGATATGCCCGTGACGAGGTTGGAGATTTCCTGCTGGGCCTGCTGGGTGGCGGGTGCCGAGGCCGAGGCAGCGACGCTGGCGGCGGCATCGTCTGCGTGGTCGTCGTCGTGGGAGCGGTCCTGGTCGTCGCTGTGCTGCAGCTGGGTCGTCTGCTGTGTGAGTGCCTTGTCGTAGATGTCCATGGCGGGCGAGATGATGACGATGAGCTGGGGGAGCGTCACAGGGGTAGGAGGGAGCGTGGTGGTAGAAGGTGGTGGTGGTGGTGGTGCATGCGTGGGTGGGTGCCTCGCTTTTGGTGCCTAGCGACCTTGGCTGGCCACGGGCGGACCCTTGCCTTTCCCTGGCAATTTTTGGTGCCATGGCCTGTGCAGGCTACGAAGAATTGGCGCCCAAAAATGCGGGCAAAGAAAAAGCAGGCCCAAAGGGAGGGCGGGTTCGGGATACGGCCAACTCGGGGCAGGCGGCCGAGTCTTCTTCTCGTCAGCCGCCTTTGCCATCGACCACCACCACCTTCACCTCGCCTCGCCTCGCCTTCCCATGAAGCTCATCCTCGCACCATCGCCATCATCGTCCCGTGCCGCAGCCAGCGCCCTGGGCGCACTCGCAGCGCGACCCGCTCGCCGCTATGCCGCCACCGCCCTCGGCCACCGCCCACCATGCTGCCCCGCCTCGGCCAGCCAGCACCGCCCAACCACGGCGGCCACCCCGCTCTCTCATCGCCCTTGGCTCGCCCCGCATCGCCTCATGTCTACCTCGCTGACCCGGTCGCAACAAGGGCAGCGCCCCTCGTCCCTCTCCGTCCTCGGGCAGACGTACGCCTCGGACGACTACACAAACCTGCCTTCGAGCATCCTCTCGCGCCTCGCCCCCTCGCCCACGCTACCCTACCAGCCGCACCACCCGCTCTGCCTCCTCCGCGCCCAGATCGAGGAGCAGCTCGGCGCGGCCTACACGCCCATCCGCGCGCCCTCGCCCGTCGTATCCACCCATCTCAACTTTGAGGAGCTCGGCTTCCCCGTCGACCACCCGGGCCGCAGCCCCACCGACACCTACTACCTCAACCGCACCACCTGCCTCCGCACCCACACCTCGGCACACGAGGTCGAGACCTTCCGCAACCGACACGACCGCTGGCTCCTCACCGCCGACGTCTACCGCCGCGACGAGATCGACGCCTCCCACTACCCCATCTTCCACCAGATGGAGGGCGCAGCCATCTTCCCCACCTCGGCCTACGCACCGGGAGGCCAGGTCGAGCTCGAGTGCCAGGAGATGGAAGCCAGGCTGGCACGTGCCAACCTCGAGATCGAGGACACCGTCGACCTCGACGAGGCAGGCGGCTTCCAGCCCACCCACGACGCGCGATCCGCCCAGCTGGCGTGCCGACACCTAAAGGCCACCCTCAACGGCCTCGTCCTCGACCTCTTTGGCGAGAGGCACGCACAGGAGCCCTCTTCGTCCAACGGCGGCGGCGGCGGGGATCCGCTGCGTGTGCGCTGGATCGCAGCCACGTTCCCATTCACGTCGCCCTCGTTTGAGGTCGAGGTGTGGTTCCGCGGCAAGTGGCTCGAGATCCTCGGCTGCGGCGTCGTCATGGAAAACACACTCACAAAGGCCGGCGTCAATGCGGTCGGCGGCGGCGGCGAGAAGAAGATGGGCTGGGCATTTGGCTTGGGCCTGGAGCGGATCGCAATGGTGCTGTACAGCATCCCGGACATCCGACTGTTTTGGAGCCAGGATCGACGTTTCCTCGACCAGTTTATCGTCGACCCCGCGTCGGACCGGGGGAAGCGACAGGAAGGCTTCAGGGATACCATCGATGGTGGCGGTGGCGGTGGCAAAGACGAAACGGGCGTCTCTGCAGCTGGCGGTGCCCAATCCCCGACAAGGACACCGCGACGGAAACTGGTGACCTTCAAGCCGTACAGCAAGTACCCGCCGTGCTACAAGGACGTCTCCTTCTGGCTTCCCTCGTCGTCGTCCTCGGCATGCTCTCAAGGGTCGACCGCAACCACGATCACGGGGGGTACGCGGTTCCACGAGAATGATTTCTACGAAATCGTACGCGATACGGTAGCCGATCTGGCCGAGGACGTGGTCAAGATTGACGAATTCACCCATCCAAAGACGGGCCGCGCCAGTCTATGCTACCGCATCAATTACCGTTCCATGGATCGGTGAGTTGCCGTCGCCTCCCCATTGTCTTTGCTTCCCTTCCCTTTCCCTTTACGTTCTCGTCCCGTCTCGTTTCGTTTCGTTTCGTTTCGGAGGAATTCGAGGCGATTCGAAATGGAAACGAGATGGGTAGAGAAGAGTGGGATGGAACGACCGCGCGCGCGGGGGGGGACTGACCACCTTTTTTTTCCACCTTCGACTTTTGGTGTGCAATGGTGTGGCCGCGGCAGGTCACTCGAAAACGAACAAGTCAATGCGCTCCATGCCAAAGTCGTACAGCGTCTCGTCGACGAGATGCACCTCGAGATTCGATAAGGTCCATCAGCACGTCTGCCTTCCATCCACCTCTCCTCTCTGTACGGATCGAGATTTCTCAACAGGATCGGTCGGCCGTCTGTCTGCGGACGACGACGCCCGTGGTCAAAGAGATGGACGAAAGTGAAAGGATGTGTTGGATTCCGTCATGCTTCTCGCACCTCGGAAAGGTGATCACTGCGGTGATGACGAGGTAGAGATGCAACGAGGTGTGACGACGCTCGCATCTCTGATAAGGGGACGAGTAGGATCGAGATTGAGGTTGACGGGGCGAACTCCGAACCCTAGCCCGGTTCGGTGCCGATGCGATGGCGAGGTCTAGTTCAGCGACGACGACTTGTCGACACCAGAGAGGAGAGGAGCTCCATCCTGACGACGACGACGGGCAGCACGGCCGCCCGCGTTGACGCGCAGACCGAGCTTGTACCTCATCACCACGGCGGGCATGTGCCACATTGTCCTGAGAAACAGGAGCGGGTGCAGCGGGTCAATGGGCGAGATGCGCGTGTCCGACGAGAGCAGGCCCACGACGAGGCGCGCCACAGCCTTGTCCTGTCGGGGGGCGGTGCGAGGCGGGTTACGAAGCGACGGCGGTTGAATCAGAGCAACGACGGGGCCGGTCCGGGTCAGCTATTCCCTCCCCCATCTTCGCGCATTCGCTCCGTCACCGGTCAGGCACGCGGCACTTACCTTGGCAGCCACACGGCCCAGGGCCAGCCTGTACCACCTCTCGAACCAGCCCGACCTTCGCGAATCGCCGGCATCGAGGGTCTGGGTCGTGTCCGAAGCGTAGTCTTCGGCCTGGCAAAACTGCCACACGTTGACGTCGCGCCCGTGGACGTCGTCAAAGTAGCGCCTGCAGAAGTCGCCGGGGATCTCCGGGGGGGATACCAGCGCCTCCTTTGCGTCGTCGTCGTTGTTGCTGCCGGCGACGTCCTTAAGCGACCGAGGCTGCGCGGCCCAGTCGAGGTCGTGCAGCATCGCGTTGAGGGTGCCCAGCTCCGTGATGATCTGTCCGGGCCACACAGGAAGCAGCGTACGGCAGCGACGTGCGCTATCAAGTCAGCGGGAGCACTCTTGATTTCTCAACTCGGGGCAAATGATCGACCCACCTTGCGGGTTCCCTGGGCGAAGCGCGGGTTGGTGTTCGAGACCGAGTCGCCCAGCGCGATAAAGTTGGCCGGGAGGCTGTCGGCGACCTCGACGTAGCGATTGTAGGTCGTCGCGGCTGTGCAGCGATCGGGATCGTCAGCCGCCGCAGCAGCTCGCTCGAGGGTGTGAGCGTGCGTGCGGTCCCACGCCAGCAGCTTCGCGAGGATGACGACGACGACGACGCGCATACTCACTGTTGCGGTACTCCTTGTACTCGATTTCAATCTTACCCTGCTCTTCCAGCTGCTCGAGTGCGTCCATCAGCTCATCCTGCCACGCGGGAGGCTGGCTGCCCAAGACGCCGAAGTCGAGCCTGTGTGCGGGACGAGAGTCAGCCGGATCACCTCAATCAGCCGTCGTTCGCTACGGCGTCACCTCAGTCGTCTCCCTGACCATACACTCACTCGTCGGAGGCTCGTCGAAAGTCCGAAACCTTGGTCGGGCGCAGCTTCTCCTGCCTGTCGCCATGCAAGAATGTGAACAGGCCCTTTTGGCCGTGGAAGAGGAGGACGAGCTGTAGATGGTCCGAGGCGAGCAGCGACGGCACTTGCGCCAGGAGCTGCGAGAATAAAGGGCCGACGGGGGAACGACATCATCAGAGACGGCCTGTTGCTCGCCTCGAGCCACTCGCCACTCACGATGCCAATCTCGTCCCAGCCCTTGTCCTGACAGTGCGGCGGCTTTGGCAGCGACTCGAGATCTTCGGGAGCCACCTGAACCAGGGCTGAGGGCGATGGGGCGAGCGAGCGAACGAGAAGGAGCAAACCAGCGACGAACGTGAGGCAGACATCAGCGTTGCGGTCGTGGCGGGTGAGCGGGCGGGCGGTCAGCTCGAGGCACTTACCCGAATAGTAGGTCAGCGTCGGGTGGTAGCGCCAGCGAGGAGGGGCCGTCCACGCATGACGACGCTCCTCGTCGCCCTCGACGCCGGGCGATCGCAGTGGCTCCTCCAGCGGCGCGGTCAGCCACTTGACGCCGCACGATGCCGGGCCGGTGCAGTCGATGACGAACGAGGCCGGGAGCATGTACGACTCGCCTTCGTCCTTTTGCACCTTGACTGCATCGACCCGCTGGCCATCGTGGCTCGGTACCAGTCCCGTCACCGACCCCTTGACGAACTCGACGTCGTCGCGGCCCGAGCATGTGCGGTCAAAGCAGCGTCGGAGGAAGCGCTCCATGGCTGCGGGGTGGGAGGGCGCCAAAAGGAGCGCGGAGACATAAGCGCGGTGGCTCGCAAGAACCGCTGCCCCAAGCTCGACGACACTCACCCATCCTCTGGGCGCCAAATACGAGGCAGCCCGTCTCAACCGACGGCAGGCTGCGATCACCAAACACGAAGCGTCCCAGGCCAGGATCGTGGAGGCTGTTCTTGGCAGCGGGAAAGAGCCAAAGGTACGATCAGTGACGGCTAGGCGCGAGTGGCCAGAATGGATTCGAGCCCGATCGACGTACAAGATGCCCTCCTTGTCCGCCTCCTCGTCAAAAGCGTCGGTGAAGAGACCCGCGACGGCCTGATAGAATGCGTTCCCGAAGTCTGTGCGGCCAAGCGAAGGTGGCGGATCAGCGTCTCCGAAGCGTCAGCTCACACGCCGCGGTTCGCATGTGTCTGCCATGCTGCGTGGCGACTCACAGTGGGCCTGCGGCCACTGGATGACCCTACCGCGGCGCTCCTCGAGCTGGCTGTCGGGCTCGACGACGACGACCTTGTCAAAGTGATCCATGGCGACCCGGGCGGTCAAGAGGCCGGCGAGGCTGGCGGGCGAGAAAGTACCACGGCATGACGGAGCGAGGCAAGGACCGGCATCGAAAAGTCGAGGCGTCAGTACGGTGAGCGACGGCACAGGCTGCTCTGACCGTAAGGCAGAGACGAGCTCACCTCCCGCCAGCGACGACGCAGGTGCCCTTGATCTTGGGCCCGGCCCTCTTGGTGCCCAGCATGTTGACGTGAGGGAACTCGCCGACGGATGCGCGGACGCGGAGGCGGAGGGGCTGCCAGATGAGTCGGTCAAAGAAGAGGACGTAGGCCAGCGAGGCTGCAGCGAAGATGATGAATGCGGCGGCGGCACCGGCCATCATCGAGTCGTCGGGGGCCCAGGCTGGGTCCCACAAGATACCGAAGGGGAGCGCCCGCATGGCGAGAGCGAAAGGCGAGGTCGAGATCCGTCGATGCTGCCTGGCTGGTGCGATCGCGTGTGAGCTTGAGAAGGACAGGAGTGTACGAAGTCCGACAGCTTGGTTGGAGGGACGAGGCGAGGATGATGGGGAGATGGGAAGAAGAGGCAGGCTTCGGGGGACGGCGTCGAGCTGCCCAGAGAGTGAGTGACGGCCCTCTGCTTTATAGGCTCGAAGCCACCCCTGCCGCCCTAGCCTCGTTGCTCCCGCGACAGGCCGAACGATGCGGCCAGCTAGACGGTGGCAGGCAGCTCGACAAGCTGGGGACAGCCTGCCTGCCCGCTTCTCGCTGAACTTGGCCTGTGCGGGGTTTGGCCAGCCCTTGCTTGGTACCGGCCGCCTGGGTGACCGGCTGTGTAGCCTGCCTGCCCGTGGTCCCGACCGGCGGCGCTGCCCGCTCGAAGACGCTCGGCATCTTGGGCGGGGCCCGGGGCCGGGGGCGAGGGGGCTTTGACGCAGGCTAGGGGTTCCGCAGCTCGAGCTTGCTGCTGCTTGACGGCCCAGCCTGCGTTGCCTGTGGCCTCCGTGCGTGACGCTGCGACCGTAGCCGCGTGGCAGAGCCAAACCAGGCGGGCGGTGCTGTCCAGCCCCTGGCCTCCCGGCGCCCCTCGGGAAAGAGGAAACAGGCTCAAGCACCACCTCAACCCGCCCACTGCTGCCGCGACGATAGCGGCGGCGGCACCGCAGGTCCGCGTGCAATTCTCGAGTGGCAGCTTCGGAGCATCTGCCTACCTGAGCAGTGAAGGCAGGGGGGCAAGGGGCAGTTGCAGGTGCCGCCGCAGGAGCAGGTGCTGGCGCAGCAGCAGGTGCTGGCGCAGGAGCAGGTGCAGCAACTCGTGCTGCGCATGACCCCTGATACGCCACCGTCGCCACCGGCGGCAATGACTTCGCAGTCGGCGGCTCGCACCTCGGCCCCGTATCCACGGGGCTGACTGCAAAATGCAAGCAACCTGGGGTCTTCGAGCATGCTCAAGGAGGGAACATCAGATGTAAGATAGCAGCTCCGTCTCGATCAACCTCAGCAACCTCAGCAAGGCCGACCTGCCGTCTCGTCTGAGTCGAGGCCCGCCTCACCGAAAATGGGCCTTGGGGGGTAGCTCGACGGCGCAACAAGCCGCGCGCGGGGGGGACCTCGGCCGCCACGGTTCAACCTTTGGCGGGACGACGATCCCGGGTCAGACCGGCGACAATGGGGCGACAAGGTGGCCTCTCCTGCGCAGAGCACGGATAAGAGAAGAACGAAGGACGATCACGCGCGCGGCAGAAGAGACCGGCGGCCAGAGACAACGGCTGGCTACACGCCAAGTGCAAGCGTTCACGTGCCAGCAACATAGGCCAGCCAGGCCTGCAAAAGTCGGCAACCGGCCTTGGGCGCACGTCGATCTGTCTAGTGCCCCGATCTTCGAAGACTGTTCAAGCTGCGCAGGACACCTCGAGCGACGGCCTGTGAGCAGATCGACAACGGGGGAAGGCCCTCAAGGGCGGCGCCACGACCGAGATCAGCGACCGCAGCACTCGAGGCGGCGGAACGAAGGGAGATCCCTGCACCGCTGAACGAAGGGCGAGTGCGTCTCGAGACGAGCGAGCCTGGGCCTTCATCCTGACGGTGCCGGACGTCGCCAGGGCAGGCAGAAGAGGCCAGGCGATGAGCCGCAGCGGCGACGAACGCCGCGACCAGGCAAAGGCCGGCCAAGGCCGCGAGCGAGGTCGCCATCGGCCTTGCCCGGCAGAGCAGCCCCAACTACAGCGATCAGAGCCGCTGCTGAGATGGCTCCGCGCTTGGCGCGAGGCGCTGCATGTCAGAGGTAAAGCCCATCAGCCCGCTTGCGTGGTCGCAGCCCAGCAGCGAGCTCCCTGGAGTACGAGACCGTGCTGTTGGGCCAAGTGGTTACATGTTGGACGTACGGCGCCGAGCTGCTGTATACGGATAGCGGAAGAGCAGCGCAGTAGGCCGATGCTCAGCTGTCGGCAGCACCTGTCAGGGCAGCGCCATTGTGGCCGGCCATCTAGGAGTGCCGGGTGCCGCGCACAACGAGGCCGGGACGACCAGGGCAGGACGCCTTTTGGCTGCCGTGGGACAGTGCGCGGTCACCCTTAAGAGGATCCGAGGATGGGCCAGGGATGGCGAGGCAGGCGTCGTAGCGGCCGTGGCGAACGAAGGCGTCGAGGGTGGTGGCAGGCAGGTAGAAGACGCAAGCAACGACGGAGGAGCCGCACGGTGGCCCCCGCGGCGCTGTCTTGCTGCGCCTGTGGTTGCGAGCAACCTGGCTTTGCCCGCCTGGCTGGCTGCCTGCCTGCCTGGCTCGGCCTTTGCCGCTGCCCATTTTCTTCGGATGCTGGGGGCCAGAGGCAGGCGGACGTGCGTGCGTGCGTGCGTGCCAAAAAAGATGCGGCGAGGCGAGGCGAGGCGAGGCCAGGCCAGGCCAGGCCGCTTCTGCCGGCGACCGCTCGCTCGAACGGCCAGAAGTGGGCGCGTGCGCCAGGCAAGCAGCCCAAATGCAGGGCAGGCCAGGCCAGGCCAGGCGCTCCTCCTCGTGGAAGCCGTGGTGGGGGTGGAAGGCGGCGGCTGGCTGCCTTCGCACCTCGCTCGCTGCCTTTGGCCCTAGCCTACCTTGCCCGACCCTGCGTTATCCTGCCCTATCCTATCCTTCACTACGCCCTCGCTGCCCTGCTGCTGCGCCATCCTTTCCTCCCTACTCTTTGCTCGCTTGCTCGTCGATCGTCATTCGGACCGCCCCGACACCCGACGTGCGGCTCTCGCAGCTTCTTGGCATTTGCTGCTAACGCTGTCGCTGTCGCTGCTGTTCCTGCTGTCGCCGCCGCCTGCTGGTCCACCATACCCATATCGACTTCAACTCCGGACTTTGGCCGTCGTGCCGCAGCACCTCGCCCCTTGCTCGTCCATTCAGTCCACCCGCTTACTCTGGCGTCGTCCGCCCTCTATACGGCTCCCTCGGCACATTTCGTCGGCGGCCTCTCCCTCTCTTACGCCCACACACCCGCTCTGATTCGGCTGTGCCGCCGAGGGCCCTTGTCGAAGCCGCCTCGCCGCCATCATCAGCGCTTCGGCTTCTATCCGGCTGCGGCGCCCTTGATCACCCTCGTTTCTTGTCGTGCGGCTTCACGGGACGGCCCGTTGCCGGCGCTGCCGACTGTCGCTACCTTCGTCGCCTTTGTGCCCACTACTGGTCAGGCAATCTCGCTGCTGCTGCCACCCACGCTCGTTGCTTGCCCTTCTTAAGCCTCGCCTCAGCATACCCACAGCGCACTCTGTCCGGCCCCACTTGACGACGGCTCGCCTCTCCCCGGTCAATCTCTCTGGCAGCCGCGTCGCTCGTTCAAACGGGCGTCGTCGCCGAGTCCACAGTCGACCTCGCAGCAGGCCTGCTCCTCGCCAACTCAGGCTCCCTTCAAGCTCGCTGGACTGCGTGTCGCGCCCCTAGGCACCTCAAGCCCAGCTAGGGCCAACCAAGGGGCATCGTCGTGCTATTCCCATCGCGGGCCGCGGCAGTCCGATCCGAGTATCAGGCCCAGTCTCGGCCTCCGGTGACGGGCTCACCGCCAGCGCCAGTCTGACCCCACCGGCGACGGCCCGCCACGCCCATCATGGCCCCCTACAAGAGATGGGAGCCCCTCCCCAAGATCCACTACGGCTTCTCCATCCACCCCTTTGTTCCGGAGATCGACGCCCTTGACCCCACCTCGACCCAGTTTGAGCACCTCGCACCCGCCGCGCTCGAGGCGCTCCAAAACGACCTCATCGCCCTCGAGGTCGGCGACGAGGTCTACGTCTTCGAGCAGCTCGGGCACGCCAACGTCAGCTGGTACCGCGGCTACGTCGTCTCGACCCAGCGCACCGCCACCAGCGCCACCAGCGCCAGCAGCCTCAGCGACTACTCGGCCCTCCCCGGCGCGGCTGCCTCGGCGGCGGGCGCTTCGGTCGACGAGGAGCCCCAGGTCTACGTCGGCATCTTTCCCGCCTCGCACGTCCACATCCGCGAGCAGCTCGACGATGCCGAGCTTCGCCTCTCGTCCATCTACGCCCAGGCCCAGGAGCTCGGCATCGTCGGGGCCACGGCGCCCCTGCCCAGGCAGAACTCGCAGAACCACATGGA